TGAGCTCTCCCACCCCACTCACACGCGGCTGGAGAACAGCTCAGTCACCACCGGTAGGTTTTAAGTCAATGTCAACTGCCCTTGGCTTGCTGTCCTGTCTCTATGATAAAGATGCCATGGCCACAAAGAAAGCGCCAGGGAAAATCCAAGAGAATTTCCATGGAGAGCTCAGGTAAAAGAGGTCCCACCAAGCCGGAGCAGTGTCCCCACAGCAGTTTGCGGCTCAGGACACCTGACTTCCAGCTCCGTTAGTCCCTGGATACACCGTAGAGAGATTATAATCTTTATTTTCAAAAGCCCTGCACTCTAGCCTTCAGATCAGGTATTATTGTTTAAATTCTTTGACAGCTAGATATTCTGATATATTTTCCAGGGGTGGGGGAAGAGCAAGAGAAAAAAGATGTCTTTAGAGGGTGAGATCTTCTGCTGCATGCTTTTGCCTTATTGGCCCATTTAACCTAAACCTTCCTGAAAACTCCCACTGGAAGAGATTGGAATTCCTCACAAGTCTAGGTGAAAAGGATTACATCTATATGTTGAAAAGCTATCTTCCAGCTAAGAAAACATGAAGTCAGGGAGATATGTGAAGGTGGCAGAAAATATGCCAAATTATCTTTCAAATATTTCCTGGGAGTGGGAGGACGGGAGCCAGAAAAGCACGGGGAAAGAAAGGAGAAAGAGGGCACCTGAGAAGTGTAAGGTTTACATGTACCTATCACAAAATCCTAAGCGCCAGCCAGTTTCAAATAAATAAAGAGATAAAGGGGAAAACATGAGGAAGGTGCAGAAGGACTGGATACTTTAAGTCTACCCACCATTGCCTTTTTTTTTTTTTTTTTGGGCAGGTAAAAATCCTGCAAGAGGAACCGCAGAGAGAAAGAAACTACGGCCGCTTACGCTGCTTATGGGCATCTCGAAGCAGGCCAGCTAAAACAGATTTCCTGGGGAAAAGGCTCTCACAGGGGACTGATATTTTGTTGCTTTCATTGCACTGTTTTTCTGATGCAATTACAAAGTCGGGGAAACCACTCTCAGCACTTGAAACCATTTCCAGCTAAGGAAGAGGAAGGATGCACAGATAGGCTGAGGCTGGGACCACAATGTCTGTGATGGAGAACAGCTTTCCAATTTAGTTACTCTGCTGCTGTGAACCGAAAACAAAGTGCATTTCCATACTTCACAGCGTATATCACATCTGATGGGAGACTAAAATTTACTCTCTGGTAAGACTAAACCTTCCAGTGTGAACCCCAGCACAGACAAGGGCACTTAAAATAGTCGAGCAAAGCCAAAAATGTTCAATAGTCGAAACCTGTTCAAACACAGCCCACCCTCTACCAAAAATCACGTGAATCCCTTACAGGACCACAACATAGGAGAGAATGACCCTGTCTCCACTTCACATTCATGATGTAATGATGAGGGAACAATGCCAAAATTAGGTAAAGTCTGGAGGGTCTAATAAAGCCCGCAGGCTACGAACAAGTGAGGGAATCTGGGCTGCATCCTCAAGTTCTGTTTGCACACTTGTATATTCCCCCAAACTGTATCATTTTCAATAGTAATAACCTATCCAATCCAACTCCCTTCTCAATTATTCAGGTGCAAATCAGGAATAACCACCAAAATCAATACGGCCGATGCTCAGGAGGGCACAGCTCTGACCCACATACCACTGCAATTAGCTCATGGAGTCTGTC